ACAGAGTAAGAGACAAAGAGAGAGAGAAGAAAAGTGAGAAAAGCAAGTTGCCCGGTCGGGGATTCAAACTGCAGTCGGCCATGTAGAACTCCAGCGACCTCATGCAGTTTTTGTCATTTGCTATGATCAGTTTATATGATTTATATTTAGTTTTGACCTGCCCTATAGTCAATTAATAGTTTGAAAGAATTTCCTCAGAACCAGCAGATGGTGTAGTGGTTATGTCACTGGACTCCCACATGGCCAACTGTGGTATGAGTCCCGGACGAGTGGCTTGAAACATGTTGGGCACCTGTGCATGTGTGTCCAAACTCCTGGGAGGAGAATGGAGGAGGAGGGATTGGGGTGTGACCATCCTCCCTGGAGGGTGATTTCTCACTTTCCCTCTCACTGTGTCTTTGCCCCGCCCCCCAAGACCCCGAGCCATGCCCTAAGGCAAAAATCTCTTAAAAAAAGAAAAGAAGTGTTTCTTCTGTATAATTTTTTTTTTTTAAGAGATTTTCGCTATAGGGCACGTGTGCTTGCCAGCCAGACAGAGAGAGACAGAGAGACAGAAAGCGAGAAATCACCCCCCAGGGGGGATGGTCACGCCGCAATCCCTTCTCCTCCATTCTCCTCTCGGGATCTTGGGCATGCATGCACACCTGCTCGGCGTGAGTTTTAAGCCACTGGGGCCGGGACGCGAACCACAGTCGACTACGTGGGAGTCCAGCGACATAGCCATTATGCTAACTGCTGATTTCCTCTTCTGTATAATTTTTAAGCTGTTCATAATAGGGTCTGACTACTTAAGCAATGTATTGAATGTAAGGTCCTTTTCTCATAATTTATAAATAACTTAATTTGTTTGAATTGCCAGAGGATGTATGTGTTTGCCAGGAGACAAAAGAGAGGGAGAGAAAGAAAGCACCCCCTGATGTGGTGTGATCATGCTGCAGTCCCTTTTCTTCCATTCTCCATCCTGTTGGGATTTTAGGCACATATCCATATGCACCCAGTGTGAATTTTTTCCCCCCAAAGATTTTTTTTTTTTTTTTTGGAGAGATTTTTGCTATAGGGCATGTGCGCTCACCAGAAAGACAGAGAAAGATAGAGAGACAGAAAGTGAGAAATCACCCCCCAGGGGGGATGGCCATGCCGCAATCCCTTCTCCTCCATTCACCTCTAGGGATCTTGGGCACGCATACACACACGCCCGGCGTGAGTTTAAGCCACCTGGTCTGGGACTCGAACCGCAGTCAACTGCGTGGGAGTTCAGCAACAAAGCCATTATGCCAACTGCTGGTCCCACCCCCCACCACCCCCGCAAAGATTTTTGCTATAAGGGTGCGTGCACTTGTCAGAGAGACAGAAAGCAAGAAATCACCCCCTGGGGGGTGGCCACACCACAATCCCTTCTATGTTCTCCTCTCCGGATCTTGGGCACACACGCACATGCGCCCAGTGTGAGTTTCAAGCCTTAGGTGGACCATGTGGGAGTCCAGAACCTTAACTGTTATACTACCTGCTGGCCTCTCCATTGTGGTTTTTAGTTCAAGCTACCAAGGCTAGGATTCAAACCACAGTTGGCCGTATGGGCTCTGGCTCCCTTAACCACTAGGCTCTGAGGTTGGCCCATAAAAAAAAAAATTAATTTATGATTCTTACAAATACCCTCACTCCACAAAGGCTGAATGCTGTATGTGTTTTGCTCCTGGATGTTATGTAGAGCGAGAGCCATTCAGTTTGCTCCCGGATTAGGCTCGGATGCTTCACACAGACGCACAGCCAGTACTGCCCAGGGAGAGAGGAAAACCATGCTTACTATTAAGTGTATAGCTTACTTGAGGGCCAAGTAGCGTTCTGGTTCCACAGGTTGGCCATACCACGGGGCAGTGCTGACCGAGGCCCTGCCCTCCTGCAGTCCGTGTGCCCCAGCATAGAGGTGAACCTTAAACAGAAAAGATGGGCAGGCAAGCATCAGGTGGTGGTAAGTGAGGCCGTAAGACAACTACTGGTGGTCGGGCCAGCACATGGTGTGGTGGTTAAAGGCACTGGATTCCCACATGGCCAACTGTGGTTCGAGTCCTGGACCTGGTGGCATGCTTCTCGCTTTCCCTTTCTCTCTCTCTCTCTGGTCAAATTAAAAAATAATAACAAGTGGAATTAAATATGTACATACATACTTCTTTAAAAAATAAAAAAGAACTACTGGTGGGTGCAGGAGGCACTGGCCCACAGTAAGTTCAAGGATGTCTTTTTTTTTTTTTTCTTTGATTTGCCAGAGGGCACACACATTGCCAGAGAGAGACAGAGAGAGAGAAAAGGAAAGCAAGAAAGCACCCCATCTTCCCATATGATGTGGTCACAACACAGTCCCTTTTCCTCATTCTCTCCCTCCTTTTGGAATTTTGTGCACACATGCAGACACACCCTTTGTGTGTTTTTTTTTTTTTTTTTTTTGGAGAGATTTTCACTATAGGGCGCGTGCGCTCGCCAGACAGACAGAGAGAGACATTAGAGACAGAAAGCGAGAAATCACCCCCCAGGGGGGATGGTCACGCCGCAGTCCCTTCTCCTCCATTCTCCTCTCGGGATCTTGGGCACGCACGCACACGCGCCCGGCGTGAGTTTTAAGCCACCGGGTCCGGGACGCGAACCGCGGTCGACCACGTGGGAATCCAGCGACATAGCCATTACGCTAACTGCTGGTTCCCCACCCTTTGTGTTTTTCAAACCACTGACTCTGAGATTTGAACCAGTCAGCTGTGTGGGTTCCAGTTGCCTTACACACCAGGCTACAGGCTGGCTCAATTGTCTTTTAAGGAGCACCTTGGGGATTAATTTTCTACTTAAGATGGACTAACCATAGTTGAGAATGGGAAGGCATTTCCTGGTCCAATAAGTTAAACAGACTTTCTGGAAAGGTGGGTATATATGCCCTGCCATGTACTCAGATTGGGGTGGCAGCCCCCCAGGCCCGTGGGGTAGTTTTGCTGCCAAAAGTGGGTAAGGTGGGTGTGTTTGTAAGTGGTGTCTGCTGATGCCTCTTCCCCTTTCCCGTCCTGCAGCTCGGTGGTGATGAGAAGGTTCTGGAGACCTGCTTGAGTCTGGGTGGCCACCGGGCCCCTGTGGTCACAGTGGACTGGAGCACTGCCATGGACTGCGGGACCTGCCTCACCGCCTCCATGGATGGCAAGATTAAGCTGACCACCCTCCTAGCCCATAAAGTCTGACGAGCCTGCCCAAGGGACACCCCAAAGCAGTATTGTCCTGGGGGGAGGCACAAGACAAAAAGGACGCTCCGCTCCCAGCTCCCTGCCAGTGCAGTGGCTCTTCAGGGAAAGACTAGCCAGGAGGCCAGGGCACTGCCCAGTCGCGGCAACTGGAGCGGGAACCACCTGGAGCAGGAGGCCCGGCTGTGCCAGACGCATGCTCTCAGACTGAGAGGAAAGCTCAGGAAGGAGGAGAAACATCATGACAGCTGCTGTGTTGACCAGGAGAGATGGACAGTGTTTTCTATATATTTGCCCGTTTTCCTCCTTTTTTTAAAAAAGAAAAAAAGAAAAAGAATGCTCTGTGGTCACCTGGTGTCCCCCTCTGTCTAGGTCGGTGAGAGAGCGCGCCCTGGAGATGGTGGTGGGTGTGCTGCCCTTGGGAGTGCCACGCCAGCTCTTACTCCCTCAGCCATGAGGCAGACCGCGCTAGGTGCCGGTTGCCTGGCTATGGAGTTAGAGTTGCAGGATGGCTTCTGTGGTGAAATCCAGGTTCTTGGTGTTCCAGACAAAGAACTGAATGAAACATGCCAATAGTGAAAGGAAAGGGTAGTTTATGAAGTCAAAGTGAAAGTGCACTCCTGAGAGGTAGGAGCGGGCCAGAGCAGACAGGGAGTAGCTCAAAGGCCCTGGCAGTTGCATTCTGTGAGGTTTCTAATTTTTTAATCTAGGTCGTGTCGGGGCCCTGATCATTGGCTGGGCCCGATTGTTCTCATCTCACTGACTCTGTCACATGTGGCTGGGCCCACGGAGTTCTCATTGGCTGTGTCAAATCTGGCTTAATCGGCTAGACAGCCCGCACTAATCTCCTGCCTACATTACCCTGGGCGGGGAATGTTCTGCCCTGATCGGGTTTTTCTACCTAGCCGCATGGGCAGATGCTCCAGCGTCTGCCAGCTTTCTCCTGCCTTGGTAGGATGTGGTCCACAGCTCTCCTGTTCCACTGTGCAGCTAAGGCTTCACGGTTCCTATTTCTCTGGCTCAAGTTAAGGTCAGAGTGTTTCTTCCCTTCCCTGAGAGTTGGTGACTTTTGTTAGAAGTTCTTGGGATGGGAGCACCCAAGACAGAGCACCTAAGATGGACCATTGCTGAGCTGCCCTCTCTTCTGGCAGCAGTTTCCCTCTTCTGTCCATCCAGGAGGCCGTGGTTCCAGTCACCTCCTTCATTTGGTGGCTCCTCCTATTCTTTTCAGTTTATCATCCTTGAGACTGACTGGTGCCAGCCACCTGTGCCCTCTGCTGGTGGATGGCAAGAGGGCCGGAGCAAGTCGGCCAGGTTGCTGGGCTGGCAGGGGGGTTCAGGCCACTCCAGCTGTTGGCTGTGCTGTTTCCACCAGCTGTGTCCACACCCCTGTGCAAAGCTTGCTCTGTACTCCTGGGGTGGGGCCATGAAGAGGCAGATCCCCCCACTGGGTGAGGAGGAACAAGAGAACCATGTCTGCCTCTCTTTCATTCCAGAATTGAGGCAGGGCTCCTGGGAGGAGCCACTAGGGATTGGGGAGGGATGCAGGATTGCCAGCCTGGGCCTTGGGTTCTGTCTCTTTGCAGGGGGCGTGTGTGGGGTAGACTTACTGCCAAACTAGGGAAAAAAAAAGAAAACATCAGAGACTTGGTAGTAAGTACTCACGTTCTCCCTTTTTATCGATTACCACCATGACAAGCCTCCCCTTGAATGAAGAAAACCGAGACTTCTCCATTTATCATTTTTTCCATTTACTGCATGGAAACTCTATCTCACTTTGTCTGCAGGACATTTCAAAAGTGGCCATGAGTTTCATGTGAGTGAGAATTCATTATCTAGCTTTTCTTCTCTTCATCTCAAAGTTTCAGCCTTACAATCCATTCTCAGTAGTCACAGCTTGCTGAAATGGCTTTAAAGAGCACAGAGACACAAAGAACACCTGAGGCCCAACCACAGTGGTGCACAGGTAGCACCACTGCTTAGTCTGGGAAGATGTTTTAGGGAGAGAAAAGTCCAGGGGGTGAGTCTCCTAACAGTGACTATTTTCTTTGCCTTTTTTCACAAAGCAAAAATGCTCCTTCTCCATCCCAGCCCAGTTAGGTTTGTCCTCACTGCTAAGAGACTGAGAACCCTAGGGGTCAGTGACTCCAATCCCTTCACGTGGCACAGGAGAAGCAGGTCCTCTGCAGCCAACTGCCCTGGTTCAATTTGCAGCTACACTGACTAATCGTGCCAGGCTGGTTTGTGACCCCACCCCCACCCCTCCACCCCCCCAAAAGCATTGACTTATCTCCTTAAGCCCTGTTTATTAAACCTTGCCAGTCTAGCCTACCTCCCGGAGGATTGAGTAACCCTCAAGCCCACCGTTGAAACCTGGCTCCCGAGCAAGGGATCACCAAGCTCTGTGCACCTCCCACACAAGGAAGTGATTACGATTAGCCATTTGCTGTTAGCCACATTTGAAAGGTCTGTCCTGATCTTTGTGGGGCAGTCAGATCTGATCATCCTTTTCACCTCCAAATACCATAGAGGAAGGCTTCATCCGGGACTGCTTGCCAGGGGTTGTTTCAGATTCGAGTTCCATTCACGGTCTCTTTAAGGCTGCTTTCAGCCTTGAGTGCGATTTTAATGAAAATTCCATGCTAACCCCCGTGTGAACGGTGGGGCGCAGCCTAGGACCGAGGTCCTGGCAGCCTGGTGGAACCGCCCCCTCCGCCCGGACAGTCTGCACGTTAAGAACTGACCACCCCGTTTTCCGCCCTCGGTTGGGAGCAGGATTTAATTTCTTTGCTCGTCTGGCGGCTTCTCCCCCAGCACTGAGTGTAGCGATTTTGCTTTTTAGGGGAGGCTCGGCTGCGCTTTCAGAAATGCAGATTTGGGCTCCTTCCCGGACTGCTGATGCAAGGCCCGGGGAGCGGACATTCCCTTTCCCCTGGCGGGGCGCGGCCTGCAGGGGGCGCCCCAGACCTCCGAGGCTCGAGCGGGAAGCGCGAGCCCGGGAGCGCGCAGGGGCCGGAAGGGGCGGGCGGCGCAGGGCCCGCTGCGAGGCCGACCGAGATGTGCGCGCGGCCAGGATCGGGTCGGTCCCGCGAGACTCGGCTGTCCCCACCGCCTCCTGGAATCCGCTCCTTGGCCGCGGCCGGAAACCGGAGAGGTGGGCGGAACGCAGGCGAGGCTCGAGCGGGAAGCGCGAGCCCGGGAGCGCGCAGGGGCCGGAAGGGGCGGGCGGCGCAGGGCCCGCTGCGAGGCCGACCGAGATGTGCGCGCGGCCAGGATCGGGTCGGTCCCGCGAGACTCGGCTGTCCCCACCGCCTCCTGGAATCCGCTCCTTGGCCGCGGCCGGAAACCGGAGAGGTGGGCGGAACGCAGGCAAGCCAGTGCTCCCGACCGCAGGAGCGCGTCGCCGGCGGTGTCCACGGCTCAGACCCAGAGAACCCAGCGGCGGGTTCCTGGGCCTGGGCAGCCGTGTCCGGTCGTCCCGCGAGGCCCACGTGGCTGTTCAGCCCGTCGCCCCTTCTCCCGCAGGCGGTGAATCAGGAAGGCTGGCCCGCCACGCCCCACCGGGGCCTGCGTTTTATCCAAGTGGTGCAGGGCGCTGGGTGGTTTTCTACGCTGACACCTGGCCCAGTGTCCTCTGAACCCTGAGTGCCAGGCCACCCTCGGGTGGCTGTGAAGCAGGAAGGTAGTCACAACGTTGGAGTCGGGGTCTGATCCTGGGTGGCTGATTTCAAACTTTTTGTGACCTTGTGCAACTTAAGTGGGTTTAATATATCCACCTCCTGAAGGGGTTTGTCTGCATTCACCGCAGCACCGATGCTCGGTGCCGTCCATCACTGGCAGGAATTGTGCATCCCCGGGTGACTTAACACAGTGCCAAAGAGCCACACTGAAACACTGGCAAAGGTCTGTCCTCCGGCCAGACAGGTGAGGATGATGCAGTTAATGTTTCTGTGAACTGGCGTTCTGGATGGGCAATAAATGAGTTATGACTCAGGAATGTCGCACTGTTTGCGGACTCTGTTTTTCTAGGCAAACTTCTGTTTCAGGAGGATCTTAGGCTGGGGCTCCTGGCTTGATTCCTGGATGAAAGGTGGAAACCGAGGCCCTGCTCCGGGTTTGGGAAAAAGAGTCCCAAGTTAGATCAGAGGCTGGGGGTGCAGGGTCTCCTGGATTCTGCAAGTCAGGACACACCTAGCTCCCTACCCCCACTGCTGGTTAACCTGTGACCACTTAGGAGTATCTTTCATTTAGGGAGGGGCCTTGGCAAAGAAGCCTTATTGTGGATCACATGACCTCAGGCACCAGTTGGGACAGGGGAGACTGAGGCAGAGGCAGAGATCAGGAGAGATTTTGGGGGTTGGCTAGGCTGCAGACAATAGCATTGGGGTGGGTGGGGTGGGGATGTTACAGGTGCCTTCTCCTGGGAGGGTGCTCATCCCTCTATGAACTAAAGCAGAGGCCATGGGAGGCATTTCTGCCTGGGCCTGGCTCCCTGCAGGGCAGTGGGCACTGGGGCAGATCAGAGGGCCCTATCTCCGGGGCCCGCCATCCCACCCAGTGCTGGAGGACCTGCTTAGTCTCTGGCTCACCTCTGGCCTGCCCTGAGCTGCCCAGTAATTGTGGCTAATGACTAGAACATTGTAGCTTATTAGGACTGACGGGATTTGTTCTTTGTAGGAAATTATTCAGGACTGCTAGACCTGTAACTGCTGGCATGACAGATGTGCTTTCCTGAATTAGAAAATCAAGTCATTCCGCTCGGGTCTGGATTCCTCTGTGAGAAACTAGACATGGAAGGCTTAAAACCTGGGCATAAAAAGAGGATCCTTCCGTCCTGGATGACAACCCAGGCGGCTGAGAAGAGAGCAGTGCCAGTGAAGACCCCTAGGAGGAGAATGGCCACAGGGCTGGTGGCAGCAACAGCAGCCAGGTAAGACAGTGTCTGGTCAGGGGATGCCTCAGGGACATCTGGAGAGGAGCAGGAGTGTGAGTGGGCCGGTGTTTCAGACTTGAAACCTGTTAAGTTCTAGAAAGTGAAGAAAATGTGGGAGGCAGTGAGCTGTCCCCCGACAGACAGGCGCCCCTCAGCCAGGGCGGGGTGCCTCCCCGACTAAATGCACAGATCGTGCGCTCTGCATCAGCCATGCTCTCGGTTGTCCAAAACGTCAGGCTCTTCATTGGCAATAAAATTGGAAACCGCAAGTGGGCAAGGTGAGTGGCCTGGAAGTCCGGTCCCCTGAATGCCTGGTCCACCTGTGAACAGGAAGGGATGGACAGAGGAGCGGCACTTCTGGGCCAGCAAGCACTGAGTCCGTGAGGTCCAGCCTCTGGTGCAGTTGGTGGCATAGGAGACCAACGTGCTGAGTCCCAGACCCAATTCAGCACGTGGGTGCCCAGGATCCTGTCGGCAGGAGGGACAGGGAAAGGGAGCATTGTGTGATGGTGCCCTGTAGACAGTGCTTTTCGGTCCTCTGTCTGTCTCTATCATGCACACACCTACTATGATGAATTAAAAAGAAGCCAGACTGTGGTGGGATGAGTCAGTTGGGTGGTGGTAACTGCGGGGGCCTTCGGGCTGCCAGCACTAGCTGGGAGGAGACATCCCTACCACTCCTAGATGGGACGTGGGGTCCCAGTGCTCCCCTCTCTGCTCTCAGGCTTCCCCTCGCCAGCCTCCCTCTGTGATTGTAATGGTCGGTCATTCTAAGTGAGGTCCTCACCAGGCACCTTTCCGTCAAGCCTTGGCCCGATGGCCTGGGTCTGCTCGAGTTCATTTGTGAGTTTCAAGGTGTGCCTCAGGAGCAGGCCCTCGTTGGGGAGTTGGCAGAGGTAGGAGCCCCCATTGTCACCCTCTGAACCTCTGTCAGTTACTGGGCCATAGGGATGAGCTTGTCATGTTCACACCTGAGGAAGTGCCTCAGCTGGGTGGCACCGTGGCTCTTGTTCCTGGTGGGAGTGCAAGGACCGAGACCCTTTTGCTGTTATTTTTGTCTTCTCCTTGAGAGCTGGGACCCCTGTCCCCATCTGTGGCTGTGCCTGTTTGTTCCAGACCCCCCACAGTGGAGACTGTGTACTGCATGAACGAAGCTGAGATGGTCGACGTGGCTCTGGGCGTCCTGATTGAGGTAAAGTCCGCTTTGTCCCTTCTCACTCTCGGGGCAGAAACTAGACTAGGCCCTCGTCAGTGGCAGTAAGAGACGCCGTGTTCTGGGGTGGCCTTGGAGATCCCTGCCGTGGCCTCGCTCTTCCCTCCGCCATGCTCTCCCGACCTCTCCCTCTGTAGGGCAAGCCTTTAGGGCTAGACGCCTGTGGAGGGTGTGCTGTGAGGGGGGTTGCTGCCTTCTCTTTGGAGGCAGCTCCATGTACGAGTGTGCCTTCCGTGTTCCTGTCAAGGGTGCCCACTGGGTGAGATGACCTGACTTTCCCACCAGTGCTGCCTGGGTTTCCTGGCTCCTGCACTGCTGTGGAGACTGCAGTGCTGAGTAGTGCACCGGAGGCTTCGGGACGGTGTATTATCTCATCGAACCCCCCAAAACCTGTGGTGTGGTTGTTTCAGATACCATTATCCCCAAGAAATTGAGCCTCGGGGCCTTTCCCTTGTGACCTAGCCAATAGGTAGCTGAGCTTGGCCCACTCTGGGTTTTATATCTTGGTCTCCTTCATTCTGACACCCACCCTCCACCCCCTGCTTTTCCAGACTTGTTTTTTCTGTTTCTTTTTCCTTTCTACCCAGCCATTGGTCATGCCTCTGCAGGTTCTTGGCCCCAGTTGGTTCTGATTTCTTCAAGAGCTGTGTGGAGGCGGTAGGGGTGGGGAGCAATGGGGTGACATGGATGGGAGCAGTGCTTGGCCTGGGGCCCACGGGCTGCATGGTTGCTTCTAACACAGCGTTAGGGAATGTCTGTCCTTCCTGTCCACAGGTGCAGAAACAGGAGGAGTCACGGAAGCAGCTGTCTCTGGCAGGCACCAAAAAGCCCAGGCTTTCCCCTCCCTGCTCCATGTCACCTCACACAAGCTCTGGTGATGAAGAAGAGGACAGTGAGAAAGACGCTCCCTCTCCAGGCCTTGGCCCTTCTCAGGGGCCTGGTGGTTCTGACTCTGCCCATAACACAAGCCCCAAGGAGGAGGAGGATGTGTTAAAATATGTCAGGGAGATATTTTTCAGCTAAGGGGAAACTGTTCACTGGGCTTCACTGAGAGAAGCTGGAGGGTGCCGGACCTGCCCCAGTGGGGGCTCCCACCCCTGTCAACTCCCCAACAAGGGCCTGCTCCTGAGGCACACCTTGAAACTCACAAAGGAACTTGAGCAGACCTAGGCCATCGGGCCAAGACTTGACGGCCGCCTGGGGCTGTCTCAGCATGTGGACGTGGTGTCTGCCCCCTGCTCTGTGCCTCCCAGGCCTGGCTGATTCAGCTTAGGCCAGAACCAGGGCGCCCTAGGCATGGGGCTGCCATTTTGAGTGTGTGGAATGAAGACTCGAGGTGATCCTGTTAGAATTCCTCTCTGCCCTGTGCTCCCGGCTCAGAGGGTTCACAGTCCCAGCCGTCTGTTCTGCTTTTACCACGTTGCAGGGGAAATGAGGTCATGTGTCCATCTTCTGAAACTGAGGAGACAGTGTTGTAATTTTTGAAGAAAAGCAGCTGCTAAGTACACTGGAGGTCCTACAGCTTAGTCCATACCATCTCTCCTGAAGAGGAAGCCTCTTAATTTCTGCCACAAGGCAGTCTCTCGGTGAGCTCTCACCCTTCCCACTGGCCTTGAGGCAGACAAACTACCCACAGGTCCCGGCCCCCTCTGGATGCTGAGGCTCGGTGCACAGACTGTCCTTTCCCCAGTCTGCCATGCCTGGGCCCCGGGCAGCTGTAAACTGAGTGGGACAGGGGCCCCAAGGAGGCGCCAAGGACAGATCGAGTCAGAGACCATGTTTTTACCTCTATTCAGTGTGGCTTTTGACAAGCATAGAATGAGCAAATCACTTGCCATAGAGACTTGCCAATATTCAGGTGCGGGGAATAAAGAAGGTTCCCCAACGCATCATCGGGTGTCTTGCTCATATCTTTTCCAGTTCCAGTTGAGAAGTGTGGGGATGCAACATTTGTATGTGAGTAACTTTTACTTCTCCCACTCGAGGGTTCTCACTTCCTGCTCCTGTACCCTGAGCCTCACAGTAGGACTAATGATGACCAGCTGACTGCTCTGCTGCACCTGGCTTCAGGCCAGGGGGCTTTCCAGGGGAACCTTCAAAGCTACCCTGGCTTCTCTTTCTGCCTCATGAACTTGAGTTCCTTGGAATCCCTCAGAGATCAGTCCTGGGTCTTTGGGAATGTCCCAGCAAGGGGCCCATTGTGGTCCACTTAACCACAGCCAGAGGAGTAGAAGCTTGCTCACCAGAGCTTGAAGGAGGCTAACCCCTCTCTTGTAATGTGACCACATGTTGCTACAAAGCTTCAGTGGGTTCCAGTTCGGCATTTGGGAAATATCCTGGAAATCTGGCCTAGTGGTAGGATCCTTAATTCCCCACCCTCTTGAGGCTGAAGTAATAACTGCTTAGATTGGTTACGTAAAGCAGGAATTTGTGTGCCGGGATGTGTAGTTTTAGGGTATCCTTGGAGCCTGGGGAGTCCTGAAAAATACAGTCTTACAGAAATGAGCACAGGTGTCCAGCCGCCATTACTGCCCCTTGCCCTCCTTGACACTGGGGGCCTCACCCACTCCACAGCGGGCCTTATTTGCTTGAGCTGGTGACCAGCAGTAGCTAAGAAACAAGATGGCAGAGAAGACCTGCCAGCCCACGGAGTCCCAGGCATCTTCTCTGAGCACAGTTGCACGAGTCATGCATTCATGCAAGCCTTTAGGCAGGACTAGCAGGTTCCGGCTTGCAGGAGTCCTTCTCGGCCCTCTGAGGGAACAGCACTGTGGCCACAAGCAGAAGGATGAGTAACGTCTGAGCGATGCCCAGAGCTAGAAACCCAGGCCCCAGCAGGGAGATTCTCACCCACTTCCACACCCAGGAGAGGAAAAGGCCCAGGCCAGTGGCCAGCATTGTGGAGGATGCCATCAGGAAGCCCACTGCCAGCTGCCACTCTCCGTTGTCTCTCTTGCACTGGGCCAGGAGGAGAGGCAGGGGGACAAAGAGGGTGAGGACCAAGGCCCCATACACAGCAAGCCTGGCCAGGGCCAGCCCAACCTGGGGCACCCCTAGGGCCTCCAGCTCAGGGAACTGGTGACACTGGAGCAAGCCGATTTCCTCATTCCACAGGCAGAAGTTGTAGAAGCCGATTCTCAGGTCAGGCAGGTCAGTGAGGTTGCCAGCTTCCCAGAGGAGGGCATAGAACAGCAGGGAGATGACTGCAACTGTGAGGCCCATGATGATCAGGAAAGGCAGATGGCTACCTCGCCGTGGCCTTGGGATGGCCATCTCTCCTGCCTTCCACAGGGCCACCTGAGGGAAGGACGCACCGTCAGTTTGCAGCTGTCCCTCTCTTGCTTCCTGCAGCTCTATAAGCCCCTGCTCTCCCCTCTGGCATGCCATAAAAACATGTGTGAAACTTCCCCTTGCCCTGCCCCCACCAAAGACAACTCTCAGGAACCCACAGCCAGGACCCACTTGACAAGCCATCAGCTAACACTGGCTCGAGGTCAGGATCCAGGGCGGGAGAGTCTCTGGCAGCCTGAGATGTCTTAACTGATCTCTGAGACCTATGGTCAGAGGCTCTGCTGCCCCTAAACATGATATTGGGAATGTGTCTGAAGGAGTTTTCCAGATCTTTCCTGGGGGCAGGTTTTGACTGGGTGAAGGACAAGGCTCACTGTTTCTGGGGAGCTGTAAAAACTATCCATTGCAAGACCACACATCAGCTAGAATGTGATGCTTGAGACTGGGCATTGCTGTGTGTTTGAAGATCTGCAGCTCAATATAATGTGAGGGGGACCAGCAGTTGGCATAGTGGCTATGTCGCTGGACTCCCACGTAGTTGACCGCGGTTTGAGTCCTGGACCCGGTGGCTTAAACTCACGCCAGGCATGTGTGCATGTGTGCCCAAGATCCCGAGAGGAGAATGGAGAAGGGACTGTGGTGTGGCCATCTCCCCATGGGGGGTGGGGGGTGATTTCTCTTTTTCTGTCTCTGTCTTGTGAGTGCAAGTGCCCTATAGCAAAAACCTCTCCCCTCCAAAAAAAATACACACACACACACATATACACATATAATGTGAGGATGACTGAGGACTGCAACTGGGCACACTGATTTTACCTGCCCATTTGGGTCACTCATTATCAGGTCAAGACAAGATGGCACCTGGTGACACGTAGTAGTCAGTGCTTTTAAGATGTCTACATTTCCCCCCCTGTTAACAGTAGGACCCTGCAGTGGGGTCTGTCTGATTCTATACACTACGTGTGTTCTGCCAGAACAGCA